TGGTTAGAGCAGGGGGAGCTGGGAGCCAGGACTCCTGGGTTCTGCAGGGGACGGAGTGTTTTTCTCCCTGTAGTACATTGGGGTTGGGGCCGTGACCAGCTCCGGACCCAACCGTGGGATCCAGCGGTGGGTGACGAGCCCCAAATCCCCATGGAGGGAAGAGGGGGGCTGGACGCAGGCCAGGGGGGCATCGCTCCCGTGGGGGAGGGGGAGGAGCTGCCACCCCGTGACCCCATCTCATGCTAAGCAGGGACAGGCATGTCCTGAGCAGGGAAGGGTGACAGGCTGGGCTGGGGTGAGGCCCAGGGGGGCTCAGTGGGGGACAGGCCGGGGGCACCGTGCTGAAGGAGACCTCCCTGGGGCGCTTTCCCCTTGGTGCCAACCCCCCTCTCCCCCGCAGGGCAGGACTCGCACCTGGTGCTGGGGCCCGCCCAGGCTCTCAGCAAACAGGTCGGGCCTGTCCTAGCCCTGGCACCACGCCAACCCGCCCCACACCCAGCCCAGCCGAAGGGGGGCAGGGATCCGAGGCAACCTGCCCCTCCCCTCACAGCCAGCCGCCCCCCCACCTCGGCTGCTGCGTCCTCTGCCCCCCGCCTCACACTGCCGCAGGCCCAACCCCATCTGCCCCCTGCACTGCCCAACGTCCCACTCTGATCCCCAGTGCCCCCCCCCCGCCCCCACAGGCACGGCCCTGTCGGGGCATCGGGGCCAACCCTGATGCCTAGTGGAGAACGACCCCCGCTGGGACCCCCTCCCTGTAGCCCAGAGCCCCCAGCTGAGCCCCCCCAGGACAGCCCCCCTGCTGAGCCCCCCGCCCCTGCTGAGCCCCCTGCCCCACAGCACAGTGCCCCCTGCTGAGCCCCCTGCCCCACAGCACAGGCTCCTTGCCCCATAGCACAGCACCCCCTACCCCACAGCACAGCGCCCCCTGCTGACCCCCCCACCCCACAGGACAGCCCCCCTACTGAGCCCCCTGCCCCACAGCACAGGCCCCCTAGTGCCGCCCTGGGGCACCGGGGCCAGCGCTGGGCCCACGGCTCCCACGGGGCAGGGCTGCCCCTAACGGGTTCCCGGCCAAGCTCCTGGCTGTGCTCCGCCCCCCCCCCCCCCCCCACCGGCCCATGAGCCAGCCCCATGGAATCCACCTGTCCCGCCCTTCACCCTGGCCCAGCCCTCCCTGCCCCGGGGCGAAGTACAGGCCGCTCCCTGCCTCCCTCAGCCCAGAGACGCGCCCAGCCCCACACCTGCCGGGACAGGCCAGGGACGGGGCGGGGTGACCCCTAGTGGGGACGTCGGGCAGCACAGGCCGGGGCAGCCCCCGGCAGGCTCCAGGCGGGACCCCCTCTAGATGTCACCGCCCGGCCCTGCGGCTTCCCCCATCCCCCATCTCTCCCAGCCCCCATGCCAACAGGGAGAGGGAGGCACATTGGGGACTCTTGGCTGCATCGGGGGGGGGCACGGGGGGGGCAAGGGGCCTTTCCATATCGGGGGTGCTGGGAATCCTTGGTTCGGTGGGAGGGGTGGTCTAGTGGGTTAGAGCAGGGGGGCTGGGAGCCAGGACTCCTGGATTCTCTCCCCGGCTCTGGAAGGGGAGTGGGGCCTAGTGGTTAGAGCAGGGGTGCTGGGAGCCAGGACTCGTGGGTTCTCTCCCCGGCTCTGGGAGGGGCGTGGGGGGTTGGGCTCCCGGACACCGGGGTCCCGCACTCACGTAGATGAGGCCGGAGTAGTAGCGGTCCTTGAGGTTGTGCAGCACGGAGGCCTCATTGAGGCAGGTCAGCTCGGCCATGTCCTCCACCTTGGAGAACTTTGGGGGGTTCATCTTCTGCACCTCGTGTTTGGGCACCAGCACCTGGCGCCCGTTCTCCGCCAGCTCCACCAGCACCTCGTCGCCCCGCTCCTCCCGCAGGCCGGCCGCCTCGAAGCCGTGCCGCTCCGAGGGCACCCACACCAGCCGCTTGGCCGTCCAGTCCGCCTGCGTGGCCGGGTTCCCCACCGAGTCCCGGTCCACGAAGAGGTAGCGCTCGGCGGTGTCCCGCTGAGCCACCCGCGCCGCCATGGCTGGGGACGGAGGGAGCCTGGGGGGAGAGAGGTGGGGTCACCCTCCAAGAACGCGCCGGACCACGCCGCCCCCCTGAGAGACCCTACAATAACAAACCAGCCCCGAGAGACCCTACAATAACTCACCAGCCCCGAGAGACCCTATAATAACACACCAGACCATGCCACCCCCCGAGAGACCCTACAATAACAAACAAGCCCCGAGAGACCCTACAATAACACACCAGCCCACGCCACCCCCCTGAGAGACCCTACAATAACAAACCAGCCCGAGAGACCCTACAATAATGCACCAGACCACGCTG